CTCGATCCCAGGACCCCGGGATCATGACCTGAGCCGAAGGCAGACGCTTAACGACTGAGCCACCCAGGCGCCCTGTGAAAGTCTTTTTATATGGCTCTGTTATCTCATGAATTTTATGTTTCTAGTAATGCACTTTTATTACATCTTGTGAACATGTTGGCCCACAGTAGATTGGAATGAGTGGGTAGGAGCTAAAATTTAAAAGTGGGGTATCAGGTATTCAGCAGATTTTACTGAGTGTTTATCATGCAGCAGCAAATGCTCCAATAGGCTTCATATGTATTAACTCCTTTAGCTCCCATCAAAACTCTGGGTGCTAGGTGTCATCAGAGATCAGACCCCCCATGACATAGACAAGGACCTGATGGGTAATGTGTCTGCGGTCACACAGCTCGCAAATGCCAGACTCCAGATTAAGAACCCTGGCATCCTGGGCTTTGTTTTGAGATATAATTGATGTATAACATTATGTTAGAGGTGTACAACATATGATTCCATATTTGTATATATTGCACAATGATCGACACAATAAGTCTGGTTAACATCTGTCATCTTACATAGTTTCAATTTTTTTTCTTATGATGAGAACTTTCTTTTTTAAAGATTTTATTTATTTACTTGAGAGAGAGAGTGCTCAAGAGGGACAGGGAACATGAACAAGGGAAGGGCAGAGAGAGTAGCAGATTCCCTGCTGAGCAGGGAGCCCGACTGGGGCCAATACCAGGACCCCGGGATCACGACCAGAGCCAAAGGCAGACGCTTAACTGACTGAGCCACCCAGGGGTCCCTGGGATGAGAACTTTTTTTTTTTTTAAGATTTATCAATTTAACAGAGAGAGAGAGAAAGCACAAGTAGGCAGTGCGGCAGGCAGAAGGAGAGGGAGAAGCAGGCTCCCCGCCGAGCAGGGAGCCCGAGGCAGGGCTCAATCCTAGGACCCTGGGATCATGACCTGAGCCAAAGGCAGCTGCTTAACCAACTGAGCCACCCAGGCGCCCCTGATGAGAACTTTTAACATGACAGTCAGGTTTTTAATTCCAAGGTCTTAGCCATAAAAATGCTCCACAGCATTCTCTGTGTGGGATTGAGTGCATGTCTACAAGTGTGAGCATGTGGCCCCTGTGTACCTGGAG